ATGACTGTTGTGCTCTCATGCATGCTTGGTTTCCACAGGGGTCAGAAGAGGACATCAGATCCCCTGGAACTGGAGTGATGAACAGCTGTACATTGCCATGTGGGTACTGGGAATTGAACCCGGTTCCTCAGAAAGAAAAAGTGTTCTTAACCTCTGAGCCATCTCTCCAGCCGCCCAAGTGGTTAAAAAGAAATTCCTGAGCCAGGCGGTGGTGGTGCACGCCTTTAATCCCAGCACTCAGGAGGCAGAGGCGGGCACATATCTGTGAGTTCGAGGCCAGCCTGGGCTACAGAGTGAGTTCCAGGAAATGTGCAAAGCTACACAGAGAAACCCTGTCTCAAAAAACCAAAACAACAACAACAACTAAGTTCCTGTTCACTGAGTTAAAATTCCATTTTCAAGGGCTCAAACTCAGATCTTCTGATTCCATAAGTAAAACAGATTTGTTTGGAGGCTGAGATTAAACAGGTCTTGGTAGAGGAATGCTTTTCATACTCAAGGTCAAAAGAACTGAGGCAAGCAGCCAAAATGTCTGAGCCCTGATCTCTTTAGCCGTCCCGTGGGTGAAGGCTAGCTTATCTTGAAAGTCCCTTGCAGGTAGGTCTGAGAAGTCAGCATTTGACTCAGTGGAGGTTGTACAAGAGGAGAAGAGAAGGAGTCAGGGACTCACACCTGATAGGTTTCCAGACTTGTGAAGTCTGGCACTGTCGGTCGGCTACTCCAAGAGTTAGAGAAGGGAGAAGGCGTTCTCTTTGTCTAGCTTGCCTTGCTTGTTTCAGCACTTGCTTTCCTGTAGGGGACATGAGGATGCTTGGTCTTAGCAACTGGAATGTTCCTAGGTAGCTAACAAGGAAGGGGTTAACCCTGGAGAAGTGGTCAGGGTTGGAAATACAGCTGGAAACCCATCAGCCTAAGAGGTGCTCTGAACCTGCAGACACTGGTGAACACCCAGAAGTTGTCAAAGAACACTGAGGAATGCTGGGACTGAGTGGGAGAAAGGGAAATTGGTACACACTAGAAAGGCACAAGTCACAGGAACAGAAGCTGTCCCAAGAAAGTGAGTGTGGTGGTCCAGAGTCAAGTACCCGGAAGTAAGGACAAGTCAGATTCACTCTTGACCCCACCTGCAGGGTCAGAGGTGTCAGGCCTGTGGGGTGGGCGCTGTGGGAGCAGCATGCTGTGTTTGCATAGGAAGGGCCACCTCAAGAGGCCCTGGGATTCCCAGGCTGGGCCTCAGCTGGTGCTGCTGTCAAAATGTTAGCAGGGAGGATCTAGCTGGAAGAAGTAAGTCACTGTGTGTGTGTGTGTGTGTGTGTGTGTGTGTGTGTGTGTGTGTGTGTGTGTGTGTGTGTGTGTGTCCCCGTCCTTGGGGGAGTCCCGACCCTGGCCCTTCCTGTCTCACTTTCTCTGCTACTGCCTGCCATGCTTGGACACCTCCCCTCTGCCACACTCTCCCGTTGACATCATGTTCTGCCCAAGCACATGAGGCCAAGAGACCCTGGACTGAACCTTCTGAAACCCCGAGGCAGAAACTGGTCTCTCCTCTCTCGTTCTCTATGATTTTGGTGATAGTAATGCAAAAGTGAGTTAGGGTCAAAGTGTGTGTAACTGTAGATAATTAAGTGGAGACTTTTTCTGAATTTGACTAAATTTGGCTGGCAGTAGGCAAAGCAAAGAGTATTTTGATTTTGCATTTTATTCTTTAGGCAATGGGCAGTCATTAAATGATATTAAGTAGGTTATACCTGCTTGGGCCATGAAGGGCTATATTGTGCTGTCCAATATGAAATTCACATGTGACTATTCAGTTATGACCAAGGACTGTAAAAGTAGTGTCACTGAGGAACTAACATTTAATTATTTTAAAAACTGATACACAATCTGGTTGCCCAAAAAATGGTATATATGTTTGGAGCAATTAGGGTATGTGAGTGTCTCTTTTTTTTTCTTCTTTGAGACAGGGTCATATGTAGCCCAGGCTAATCTCAAACTTATTGAGATTGAACATCTGTTCCTTCTGCCACTAACTTTGAGGTGCTGGGATTACAAATGTTTCCTATCACCCCGGACTTTGAATATATCCTTTGAACTGAAAGTTTAAAGAATTCTAAATATAGGACAATATGTTCACATTTTTAACAGTCAAATTGAAATGAGATAGAAGTTTAAAATAACAAATTTTGAAGACTTAATACAAATAATCTTTAATTGCATGTTGAAGCCATGTGCATGCCTACAATCTCAGCACTCAGAAGGCTGAGCAATAACTGCTGAGTTTAAGGTTAGCCTGGACAACACTGCAAGTACCAGGCCAGCCAGCTCTACATAACAAGACCCTATCTAAAAATAAAAAAAAAAAAAAATCACAGCTAGTAGTAATATTTTGAATCTATTAACAAAGACATTTGCCAGGCGGTGGTGGCACTCACTTTTAATCCCAGCACTCAGGAGGCAGAGGCAAGAGGATCATTGTGAGTTTGAGGCCAGCCTAGTCTACAAAGCAAGTTCCAGGTTATCCATGGTGTATACAATCAAATATATTAAAACTGTTTCTTTCACTTTTTTTTTTTCATTTCATTTTCATTTTTTTTGAGACAGAGTTTCTCTGTGTAGCTTTGGAGCCTTTCCTGGAACTCACTCTGTAGCACAGGCTGGCCTTGAACTCAGAGATCCGCCTGCCTCTGCTTCCCCAGTGCTAGAAATAAAGGCGTGCACCACCACCACCCAGCTTAAGATTGTTTCTTAACATTTCAGTAAAAAAGGTTTTCCTTCTCCCATCTAAATTAAAGCAAGGTAAAAGGAAACCCTTTTTACTGAATATTAAGAGACAGTTTTAATATATTTGATTGTATACACCATGGATAGTAAAGTATCTCATCTAAAATACCATTTAAATTTTCCCAGTACCCTCAACTATAAAAACAAACACAACTGGTCAGCTTTGGCCACTGAACAAATAACAGCTAGGGCTGTTATGCAGAGAAACCCTGTCTTGAAAACCAAAAACTAAAAATTGGAGGGAAAAAAAAGTCATACTTGAGACAGCTTTAATTTTTCTATTTGTGATACATTTTCAATATTATTGTTTTTTAAACTTTTCCTCGTGTGTGTGTGTGTGTGTGTGTGTGTGTGTGTGTGTGTGAATGTGCATAAATTCCTGCATGTGGAGGTCGGAAGACAAGAAGCAGGACTCCTGCTATGTGGGTTCTGAGGATCAAACTCAGGTCATCAGGCTTGGCTGCAAGTGCCCCTGTCTACCGAGATATCTCACTAGCCCTCAATACTGTTAACAAATGGATATGCATGACCATACTAGGTGTGATACCTGGAAACACCTATGTGGCTGACTGAACTTATCCTGTCTTAACTTTGCAGACAACTACTCTTACTTCAAGTGCCTTAAAGATCTATGACAGTGTTCTAATAAAGTAGTGGTATCTTTACTTTATTAGTCAGTAAGCAAGTGCTGGTAGAACTGTGGGGGGTGTGGGGGGGAAATAGCTATATGGCTGAGCAATGAAGAGTTTTCAAAAATCACTCAAAGGCAAGCAAATAATAATTTTCTGGTTATCTACTCACTGCCAGAGATAACTTTTGCAACTTGAGTGTTTAAAACTTCAGTTCTGGGGCTGCTGAGACCACGGCTCAGCAGGCAAAGGTGCTGCTGCCAAGCCTGAAGACTTGAGTTTAATCCCTGAGATTCACATAGTGGAAGGTGAGAAGGGACTCCTGCAAGTTGTCCTCTGACTTCCATATGTGTGCCACAGCATTCATTCACACACACACACACACACACACACACACACACACACACACACAATTAAAAAACAAAACAAAAAAGCCTTCCATTCAAGGAAAAAGTATACAACTCTAAATTAAAAAAACAAAAACAAAGCAAAAAACCCTAAATCAATTCCCTAATAAGTAACACATTTTCCCGGTAGGTAAATTTTACTGCTAAATATATACCTTACTATTCTCCCATCGAAAGTAAAGCAAGGTAAAAGAAAAACCTTTTTACTGAATATTAAGAAACAGTCTTAATATATTTGATTGTATATACCATGAATAGTAAAGTATCTCATCTAAAACACCATTTAAATTTTCCCAGTACCCTCAAGTATAAAAACAAACACCCACACAACTGGTCAGCTTTGACCACTGCACAAATAAGATGCAAGTACCAACTAGTTAAGAGCAAGGAACCTTCACAGTCAATAGAACTTATCCTGTCTTAACTTTGCAGTTCTCATATTTCTGCTATTTCTCTGACATTCAAAGCATAAAGCTGACATGTTATTAGAAATAAGTTGCGACATCATAATTGCGCTTTCTTGCATTTGTGTAATGGCTACAAAGTTGATACAACGAAGTGCAATTGATGTTTCCATCTCCCAACAATCAAAGATGGAGTCAGGACAGCTCCCTCGCAAAAAGAGGGCAGTTGGCTTCTGAAAGGCAGAACGTGAAGTGAGGGAAACCTGTCAAACACCTAGGACGACACCAGGGAGTTCAAAAGAAACACTCATTTCCTTCGACATGGTGGGAAAATCCCGGTGGCTCACAGAAAGCCTCGGAAAGTTTGGGTTGACTGATTGCATCTTGTTTTCCTTCCAACATCAGTACCGGGCCTGGAGGACTTTTCCTCCCCCGGGAAACCGCGAGTCCTCCCGCACCCGGCTCCCGGTTGGACGCCTCCGGGCAAGCCGCGGGGTGGCCGTCCCGAGCTAGCTCCCGACTCCACAATGGAGCTCGCCCCCGCGCACGCCCACTCCAGGAGGGCCATTTCCCTTTTCCTGCCCAGATGCTGTCCGCCCGCTCCAGCGCGTCGCTCCCCACCTGCGGCGCGCGACCCCGAGGAAGTGGCCGTGCGGGCCGAAAGGAGGACCCCTGGGGGCCCAGCCCCGGAGGACGCGCGGTGTCGGGGCGCAGAGGCTGTGCCGCCCTGCCTCGATTTCCCTCCCTTCCCCCTGCCGCGAGAGTCCTCGGCCCACACTCACCCTTTCACCACAAAGAAGGGGTCCTCCATGGACATGGCGCCCAGCCCGGCAGCCCGAGCCCTCCCTGAGATCTCCCGCAGCCAGCGCCTCGGCCGGGGTGACCCGGAGCAGCGGTGCGCGCAGACCAGGGTGCCCGTCGGCCGCCGGTCCAGCACTCGGTCAGCGCCGTGGGCCGAATCCCACTCCGAGCCGGCCCCCACGGCAGCCTCCTCCCCCGGCACCTCCGGCGCCGGGCCCCGCCCCCAAGGCCGTAGCCGCGACCAATCATGAATGCGTACCTCAGCTCCACTTCCGCACTCTAGCTCACGTGACCCAGAGATCGCCCAGGCTCTGGGCCGAAGAGGGGCGGGGCTTGGTCCTAGCGTCACTGGGCCCGAGAGGCGGAGCTCTGGGAGGTAGGGGAGGTCTTCTGCCTCTACTAAGAGAAGGCTATGGGGATTTTAGCAGTTGCTGAATCTGTTTGCGTAGACCTCTTGTCTTTCCTCTACTTTTAAGATTTGCTTTTAACGCCATGTGATTTACGTGCCCATCTCATCCTCGACTTGCACTCTAGGATTCTCAACCTGATTATGGTGAAGTCTTAGGTCATGTAGTGTGTCAAGGCTGTATAAACATCCTCAGTACTCTTTGGGGGACGATCCTATTGTTTCTATTTTGTGAGAGGCTTCAGTCTCTCCTGTACAGGGTCACATGATCCAGACATATAGAACCACAGATCCTGGCCACTTTGCCCAAAATGGACAGTATTATCTTTTGAAATACATTCTGAAAATGAACTTCCCAGCAGAGAATTGAAGGGCAAAGGAGCCAGGCAGGGTAACTTCCTCTCAATCGAGATTCTAAAACGTCCGAAAAACATTTTATCTGGCACAATCAGTGAAGTGGAATTTTCAGCACGCTGTATGTACATAGCTTTCATGGTTAAGTACTGTGACCTTTCATTGCTAATAACTCCTGAGCACTTAGTGTGTGTTGGGCAGGATTCTAAGTTACTTCGCTCTCTTCAGTAAGGTAATTACTGTTATTTATTATCTGCATTTTATGAATGAACTTTCTGAGACTCTGTGAGGTTAAGTGACTTGCCCAAAGTCTCTAGTCTCTTTGGAACTTACATCAAACAAGTCTCTTTTGAACCTGTAGTCCCTTATTCAATTCCTCATCTTTAAGATGTAAACAAGCCAGGCAGTGGTGGCACACACCTTTAATCCCAGCACTCAGATCTCTGTGAGTTCCAGGCCAGCGTGGTCTACACAGCTACTTCTAGGACAGCCAAGGCTACACAAAGAAACCCTGTCTCAGGAAAAAGAAGATGTTGCGTAAACTCTGAGGCAGTATAGTAAGGGGCAGCTGAAGGAAGCTGTTGTCCAGATGACAGTAAGGGAGAATGAAGGAGAAGGAGCAAATCAGATAGATGCTCCCAAGGAATACAAAACATAGTCCCTGGACATAATGGGAGAAGGGAAGAGAGACGTGAAAGGCGAAGACTCCAAGCTTCACTGGACTGAAGGAGCAGTGGGTGGCAGATGTGGAGAAGGGGGCTGCTGGGAGAGTTGCAGGCTTTGGCCACCAACATACTGAGATGGGGGAATAAAAATGTTCATGTGACAATGACATCGGAAGAGCAGGTGAGTCCAGGGTTTACAAATGACTCTTGGAGCTGATCCTTGAGTTTAAAACCTCAGCTCTGCTACTTTGAGCAGCCGTGTTTGAGCAAAGTCCCTAATTGTTCACTCTCCTTACTGTGAATGGATGGCATAGTAACTAACATCTTTCTCCTCCAGTGTCTCAAGGCCTGGGATGATCTGTGAAAAGGCCTTGGGACAAAGCCTAGCACACCTGTGCTTTTTCTCTGCTCAAGTAGGACTCAGAGATGAATACCCTCGCTTTCAGTGAGCTCTCAGGCCTGTGGGGAGGAGCATCCAGTTACAGATAATGAGAGGGCACAGGTAACCAGAGAAACACACAGATAACAGAGTTGAGATACCAGTGTATTTGTGGGTGTGTCGGGGCTGGAATGGGAGGTTCCTAAACAGCGATTAATGGCAGGAGGGGTCAGTGATGTAGACCAGCAGAGCAGCCTCCTGAAGCCTGAGCAAAGAGCATTGCTGGGGTAGAAGTGTCAGCTGCATCAGGGAGACACAGCCCAACATGGTAGCTACCAACAGCCTGAGTCATTCCTTTTGGTGTTCAGGACCTCCACTCAGGTACAGCCAGAATCTTAACTATACCTCAGAAGGATTTTCAGGATGAACTGTCATGAAATCAAGTTAGTAAATGTACTAAGTATTTAGAAATCAAGTTGTATAGGGAAGGGGCAGGCACAATCTGGAGACATGAATGTGGGCTCCTCCACAGAGAGTCACACTTGGATGTCTACATGGATGATTTTGTGGCTTTGAGAGGTTTGAACTTCTCCAAGGATGTAATTTACAGGGTTTAAAGATTAAGCAAAGTCTAAAATTTAAAGTGTAAAAGTTAAGTAGATATATGAACTTGTTAGCTTTTTTTTTAAAGAATTTTTTGTAGTAAATGAAGTTGTAAACTGATTTTATGAGGTGCATTGTTGAGATTAGAGCTGAGAGATCTGGAGATAGCTCAGGGGTTAAGTGCTCTTACTGCAGCCGGGTGGCCTTGACTTTGATCCCAGCACTCGGGAGGCAGAGGCAGGTAGATCTCTGTGAGTTCAAGGCCAGCCTGATCTACAGCGTGAGTTCCAAGACAGTAAGGGCTACACAGAGAAGCCTTGGTGGGGGTGGGGGGGGGGAGAGGTAGGTAATAGTTTCACTAAGGTTAGTAAGTACTTGCCACTAAGCCTGAGGTTTTTTAATTCAGTGCCCAGAATCCACATGACAGAAGGAGAGAACTGATTCCTGAAAAATGCCCTGACCACTGTAATTTTTTTTTTTTTACTCTTTGGGGGCCCACCACTCAGCTCCCAAATAAATACACTTATTCTTACTTATGAATGCCTGGCCTTAGCTTGGCTTACTTCTAGCCAGCTTTTCTTAATTTAAATTATCCCATCTATCCTTCGCCTTTGGGCCTTTACATTTCTCTATTCTACCTATCTCTTTTTCCTTCTTACTCCGTTGCTGGCTGTGTGGCTGGCCCCTGGCATCCTCCTGTCCCTCTTGGTTTCTTCTATTTTCTCCCTCCTCTTCTTCTATTTATTCTCTCTGCTTGGCAGCCCCACCTATTTCTCTCTCCTAGTAGCTGTTGGCCTTTCTGCTCTTTATTAGACCATCAGGTGTTTTAGGCAGGCAAAGTAACACAGCTTCACCAAGTTAAACAAATGCAACATAAAAGAATGTAACCCATATTTGCATCATTAAACAAATATTCTACAGCATAAACAAATGTAACACACCTTCAACTAATATTCCACAATAGACCACCATATATTCATTGTGCTATGTGTATGCACAAGTATACACACACATACACACATACACATAAATAAATGTAAATTTTAAATTAACAAAACTAAAATTAACAGCTATTTCATTTGCTATTCTTAACATCTGCATTGAGATGTCTTTAAGAAAACACATGCTATCTTTGTAGGCAATTCTTTTATCCTTTGTGTTCAAGTTCCTTGATTCTGTCAGCAGGAAAGGAAAACTAGATCCCAGGGTAGGGAGGGTCTTTTTCGAATGGTTCATGAATTTCCCTTGTATTTCTGTCATGCCTGAGAAGGAGCAGGCAGCAGGAGCTAAGGCTGCAGGTGGGCAGGGCTAGCTGGTTGGGAGTGTTGAATACTGTGTGTTCTGTCCTGTAAGCCTAGGAATTTCGAGAAATGGCTGGATCAGACTGACTACTGTGATTTGAATGAGAATGGCCCCCATATGCTCATACATCCAAATGCTTCTTCTCCAGTTAATGGAGCTGTTTGGGAAGGATGAAGAGGTGTGGTCTTGTTGGAGGAGATGTGAGGACTTTGAATCTCCAAAGCCCACACTATTCCCAGCTAGCACTCCCCACCTTCTTCTTGCCCCAACATGTAAGCTCTGAGCTGCTGCTCTAGTGCCGTGCTTACACACCAACTGCTGTGCTCCCCACCATGATCATGGACCCCATATCCTCTGGAACTGTGAGCCCCAAATGAAATGCTTTCTTTTATGAGTTGCCTTGGTCATGGTGTCTCTTCACATCAACAGAAAAGTAACTAAGACACTGGCGTTGAGACAGATATTGCAGTGGCTAGAAAGTCATGGTCCAGCCAGGTGGTGGTGGCGCACGCCTTTAATCCCAGCACTCGGGAGGCAGAGGTAGGCGGATCTCTGTGAGTTCGAGGCTAGCCTGGGCTACAGAGTAAGTTCCAGGACAGCCAGGACTGTTTCACAGAGAAACCCTGTCTCGAAAAACCAAAAAAAAAAAAAAAGGAAGTTGTGGTTTAGAAGATGGATGAGAAGATCATGAGCCAGTGTGGAAATGAAGACATGGAGGGGGCATGCATTTGAGAAGAGGTATGGGGACCACAGAGATAGACATGGTTGGTTCCTGATGCAGAGAAGTTGCTAAAAAGAGGATGAAAGGGCCAGTGAGAAGGCTTGCAGGGTTTGGAGTCAGTGAGTAGTAGTTCGTTGCATCTCCAAGAAAGAGTCTCCTACTGAGGAAAATCAGTGGAAGTGAGGGACAAAAGGGCTAATGGGAAGGGGAAGAATGTGATCAAATTACATTATATGCATATATGAAAATGTCACAATGAAACAAATTATGTCTAATATATGCTAATAGAAACTGTTAAATTTTTTTTAAAAGAAAGAGACTCCAGAAGGTGACCTGATTTAGGGTATGTATACATTAGATTCATGTATGCTGGTCTTTCCCACCCAACTGTAAGCTCCAGGAGGATCTGGGTACCATGTAAATGTCATCACCATATCGAGGGCTAGCACAGACCTTTATTCTCCAGCTTATGGGTTTGTTAATTGAGCTACAAAGACATAAGAGTTTTACAAGTAGGAGCAGAGGATAGAGGGCAGCTGCTCAAGGAAGCTTAATAATTGGGGTCTGAAAATAGCACCAGTAATGGAAACAACGGAGGACTGAGCAAGCATGTGTGCATGGGGGAGGGGGTGTCGCTCTCCTTCACCCTCTCTCAAACTAGAACTTGGCCTCCACTGTCCCAGGAAAGGGAAGTTTTAGCTAAATGTGAGAAACAGAGGAAGTTATTTCTTTGTTTTCTGTGTTTTTGTGCCTCCCCTAATTTAGGTCCCAGGTCTTGGGTGAGAAACAATGCTTGAGAACAATGCTCAGCAAATAGCCATCGCCTTCCACACTCCCACTC